TATATTTGACTCCAGTGATGGTGTTAACCATAATGGGGACAAGCCAGTGCTGTGTGTGAGGTCATTTAAGGTGGTTTTGACAAGTGTTGTTGGCATCTTCATATCCGATCACCTGGGCGACAAGCCACTCCCATCTGGTCACATGGGCGGCAAGCCACTCCCACAAAGGAGGCCACACCCACAGAGTAGGTTCGAACAATTTTTGAAACCCACCACTGAGTAATGTGCGACTCTATAAACCGCTTAGAGAGGGCTGTGAAGTGGTATATAAATCTAAATGCTATTGCTATTTTTCATTATGCAGTTACCTGTGTTTGGTAATCTTTCAGCACTAACTGTTGGCATTCTTGAACCATGGCCTCCTGCCTCCTCCGCTCCACCTCTCGCTCTTCCCTCATCTGCTGCAGCTCTCCGTGTGCCATGGTGATTTCATGGTTGCTCCTTTCTTTAGCCGACTCCAGTTCCTCCCTCAGGGAATCTGCTTTTAACTGACTTTGCTTCCTGAGCTCTTCTAATTCATTCCTCAGGGCCTCTTTCTCTTGCTGGCTGCTTTTCCTGACTTCTTCCAGTTCGGTCTTCAGGATAGCAACTTCAGTAAGGTTCTGGGCTTTGAGGAAAGTTAGTTCTCCTTGGAGATTGGACAGGGTACTTTCCTGAGCAGCTATGGTGGCCTCCTGTTGGGCGGAGGAAACTCGAAAGGCGCTAACTTCTGACTCCAAGCGCTGGATCTCGTGGAGCTGATGGGAGATGATTTCAGCCTGTTGAGACATTGCCAGGGTCACATTTGAAGGCTCAGACAATCTATTCAAGGACCTTGGATAGAAGAAAGGAAGATGTCAGGAGGTTCTCCTATCTCAAGAGAGAATGCTCTAGGCCAGGGGTGTCAAACTCAATTTCATTGAGGGCCATATCAGGTTGTGTTTGACTTGGGGTGTGTGGCCGGGCATGGCCAGCTCAACGTTACTCATGTCAGGGGCACCTGTGTTGGCCAAGTACTAAGGCAGGACTTCCCTCACACCCTCCCTCCCAGTATAATCTTTCTTCCTTCCTTCCTTCCTTCCTTCCTTCCTTCCTTCCTTCCTTCCACCCTCCCTCCTTCCCCTTCTCTTCTCAAGGTCTTTGCTGTTTCCAGGGCGGCCCCACGGGCCAGATCTAAGCATCCCGCGAGCCGGATCCGGCCCACAGGCCTTGAGTTTGATACGCCTGCTCTAGGCAGACTTCCCCATCCTGATTGTAACCTTCCAGATTTGTGAGCTTCAGTCCACAGAACTGCCCAGCCGGCATAGCTATTGATGTGAATCCTGGTATTTGATGTCCATACAATCTGAAGGGCATTCACATTAGGAAGGACAATTCTAGGAACTGCTCACTTAATAACAGAAACAACAGAATGCATATTTCACTGCTAAAAGCTATGCGTCAAGGAGACCATGGGGGTTGATCTGCTATACAGGAAGTCCTCAACTTATCACCCGTTTGTTTAATGACCGTTCAAAGTTACGATGGCACCGAAAAAAGTGACTTACAATCATTTTTTTCACACTTACAACCACGGCACCATCCCCGTGGTCACATGATTAAAGTGCAGACGCTTGGCAACTGGCATGTATTTATGACGGTTGCCGTGTCCTGGGGGTCATGTGATCACTTTTTATGTCCTTCTCACAAGCAAAGTCAATGGAGAAGCCAGATTCACTTAACAACTATGTTACTGATTTAACTGCAGTGATTCACTTAACAACTATGTTACTGATTTAACTGCAGTGATTCACTTAACAACTATGTTAC